AAAAAATTACTTGACATATAAATATATTAAATTAGTTAGATTTTTCTTTTATTCATTAATATATAAATATTAAAGAATCTGTAGATCATAATTTATCTAGCTAACATCTTAAAAAGAACTTTAAAATATATGTACTTCTTAAAAATAAAATAAAATAAGAAGTGTTACTTTTTTAAAAAATAAAAAATTTATCTCGAAAAATAATATATCATATTTATTTAACAAATTTTTACTCTAGAATGTTAATTGCATACAATTTAATAATGAAGAGTAAAAAAAATTAAATGTTGAAAAATAAAAATCATTTAAAATAATTTGAAATATGCTTTTTATTTTTATTTTAGCAATGTCATTTTCATCATCTCGTTGAAGCCAAACAAGCATAAAAAATAAATAAATAGGTTAACCAATTTAAAAAGTAACAAATTATCTTTTACGATAATGATTAGATTTTTTAAAGTATGATATCTTAATAAAAAATAATTCAAAAGTATATAGCTGCAATGAAAAGTATTTTGTTAATAAAACCATGATATTTGGTCCTTAAAATGTATAAAAACAATTTAAATATCATCTTCTATTTATTAAAAACACATTTAATCGATATTAAAAAAACTAAAAATAAAAAAAATATTTAATTGTATGTGGGACCCACCAAAATTATTTTTTATATTAATTTTGGTACTTTTTTTGGTCAAGATAAGAGAGATCGCCCCCATGGTCATGGATCGTCTCTCGGAGGAGATCCGGGTGGTTGTTTTGACAATTTTGCTGAAAAATAATTATTTCATTAATATATCGAATATATTTTAGTCATTTTGCTGATTTCCCTTTTATTTATTTTGTTGCTTTTTTAGAAAAAGTTAAAAACAAATTATATGATTTTAAAAAACCAAGAAATGAGAAGAAAGTTCAATCTCGGAAACTCGATAAGTTTGGATATGGGTTGTTTCAAAATAGTTCGAAGACTAATTTACACAAAGAATCCTCAACTATTTCTAAATGCCATTTCCTATTTCTATAAAACAGAATTGCCTATTTTAGTCCTTTCAACTTTTTTCATATCGATAGCCGCCACCGCCACCGCCACCGCCACCGCCACCACCACCGCCGCCGCCACCACCACCGCCACCACCACCGCCACCTCCTTCATGTACTCAACAAACATAAAGACACATCTAGAGGTGTGTTTTTGTTTACTCCATACTTTATTAATAGAAAATAACATTAAAATTAAAAGTTATTTAATATATTATTGGTTTTATGACATAGACACTTTAAGAGTATCTGCAATGAGCTTCATATATTGGCTCTTTAATTATTATTAAAAGACAAATATAAAGAAGCCTTATTTCACTACATTCCATACATTGACTCATTATATTGATTTTCATTATTTTACTTCCTACATTGAGCCTTATGGGCTGTTTGACAGTTGCTGAATGGTTTAATGCAGAATAATTAAGTAGTAAAAATGATTAAGAGACTCTCATGATATAGTGCAAAATAAAATATAATTATTTGATAATTGTTTACAATGAAATTAGGACGTTGAATGGTTAATAGAGACTATGATACAAAATTATTCAGAGAGTTTTAGAACCATTAACAGACAATTTTTTTTTTCACCAAACAAGATTCACTTTATAACGATTCAGAAGTTGCCTCTTAATAGAACTATTAAGAGGTAAACAAACAACCTCTTAAGAATCTCTATACACAATTTTCATTATCTTATTATATACATATGTTCATCAGTTTATGTTTTTAGTTTGTTTTATTCAAAAAGTAAAAGTAGTATTATTAAAATAATGTTTGTTTGTTAATGTAGACCGTAGAGAATATGATTGAAGATGCTCTAATGTAAATTTACCTGAATGAGGTTTTTTTTTTTCTTTGGGGGATTAAAGTGATAAAAAAATTGTAAAGATCTTCGAAATAGGCAAATTGTGTTTTTAGGGGCTGTAAATGTCATTTGAGAATAAGCAAGGGGGTAATTTTTCTAACTCCCGTTAGTCTAAGACTTCACAGACCACTGTCGCCGTCAGTCATGAGTCACAGTCTCTCTCTCTCTCTCTCTCTCTGAACCATCATAACTGCGTGTTTTCTGCATGATTGTGTGTGACTGCTCAGCCATGGCGGAACACCGTGGAGGCATGAAATTAGGGAATTCAGGTGAAGATGACAACAAAGAGCATGTAGAAGCCACCGTAACGTGCCCAAGGAAAATTCGGGTCATACTGTCGGACCCTGACGCCACCGACTCATCATCAGACGAAGGGGGTGACAGTGAACGATCATCTCCACGCCGAATTGTTCACGAAATTGTTCTTGGTGTTAGAGCCGGAGATAAGGACGGCGATGAAGTGTTAAAGCGCAGTGATTCCGTGGATCAAACGCAACCCGAAAGGAAGAGGTTTCGTGGGGTCCGATTGAGGAAATGGGGCAAATGGTGTTCTGAAATTCGCGACCCGTTTAGCAAAAAACGAATCTGGTTGGGTACCTATGAGACCGCGGAGGAAGCCTTGAACGTTTATAACGCTAAGAAAGAGGAGTTTCGATTTCGAGAACGGCAGTCGGGACAAAACCAACCGAAGACCCGAACCGAGTCCAAGAAGCAGTCGTCCATCCGGGTCTCTAAAGGGGTTAACAATTCTCTGAATGGAGAAGAGATAGTAAAGTTGGGTGAAGACCCGACCCGGAAACTGCGCAAGGGGGTTCGAAGGACGAAATCTGGTAGATGGAATCGTGACCCGTTTAAGAAATCACAAGTTTGGGTGGGTACCTTTGATACAGAAGAGGAGGCTTCAAATGGTTTTGAGTCAAAGAAGTTGGAAGTCGGGTTAAAAGTGACCCGATTTGATTCAGAATGTGGGGCATCTCTTAAAACCCCAAAGATTGAGACTTTAAGCTTTACAACTACTTCTATGGCAGTAGATGGAAAAGAAGAAAACAAGCCAGCTTTCAGGTTTGGTTAGGTTCAGAATGGGAGTCTATGGGTCAAATTGTTGTACATACAGTTGAAGACGATCAATGATGTAAAAATGCGTGTTTTAAAAGTTTTTAGATTTCTGATGGACATCATTTTCCTGTAATTCGTTCCATTTTCTGCCTACTAGATGCTTTGCACGATTACATGATCACTTGCTTTTTATGAACATAAAATTTACCCTGTTCTAGTTTAAGAAATATACATGTATATGTATATATACTAGTAGCGTATCCGTACAATGCACCGGGTAATCAAAATTGAAATGTGCAAGAATCATCAGGAGACTATAAAATAATGACAAACTAATTCTTTCATTTTAATTTTGAAATTCAAACAAAAAGTAAAAGAGAAAGGTAAATGTTATTGGGGACAGAGCACCGACAAAGTTAGACCAAAAAAGTGAAACCAACTAGAAACTTTAGTCACTTGTGAAGACAAAAAGGGTCAAAAGCTTTTAAAAATTCAAAACATGCATACAATACTTGTATATTGTGTTTCGGTGGGTATATTTTATAATATATATATATATATATATATATATCAAACATTGCGAGTTTTACAATGGATTTGAACCAGGCAGAAAACTTTGGCATATCGACATGCATCTTGTACAACTAAAATTGGAAAACTTGAGAATTTGATTCGATATATAGGATTAATTACGGATCTTACCAAAATTTGCATCCTCATTTAGATCAATTTGTAAATTGTTGCCAGAAGTTAGTAAACTTGTACCATCATAAGATATTGATCTATGGTTTAAAACTTATCAAGATTGTCCGACTCTATCAAAGAGGCATATATGTTATGGGGTTCAAGTATATTCAGGTTATTGCTAATGGTTGTGACTTTATTGCTCATGGTTGTGGCTTTATTCTTCTTTCGTTTAACTCGTAGAACCAAAGATATCGATCTTTGTTACTTAAGGTAAGTGTGGCATTGATGGTACAATTCTCGGATCGGTGGTATCTAATCAAATACCTTTAGATGGATAATAAATTTATTTATCATACCAAAGGGCCATTGACCTAGCGATATTGCAATCGTAGCCTCCCTCCTAGGAGTTCAAGGATTCAAAGCTCACCAAATGTGAGGAGGATCTGTGAGTTTATTTGTTCCTTTTGCCGTATATAAATATTATATATTTCAAAAAATTATTTATCATACCATATGCGTTTGAATTTCTAATTTCATCCTTTCGTAGACCTTTCACGAGCTATAGCTAGTTGTATGCCAACATTTTCACCAACGGCTTCCATTTCACCTTGTCTTTTGAATTTCGAGTCAATCATCCCTCTCCCGCTTCGACAAGTAATGCAACAGTAAATACAATTATGCAAAAAATTGTTTATTTGTGGTAATATTTCCCAAGTGTGAATCTGTTATGTTTTCTTTAGGTTTCGATTCTTTATATGATCTAGTAAAAGAAATACAACGAAAACATAAACGATTTTAGAAAGTAAACTTATTCATTTGTGAAGGAAGTTGCCAAAAACTAAAACCCTTCAAAGAGTAATGAAATTTCTGATCTAGATACGATGTATTTAGAATTTTCCATATAAACTTTTTTATTATCATTTTTAAATAATTTTTAATAAATTAACATGAATCTTTTAAAAATTGGTTAACTGCATTATTTTACTTGAAAAAGTTACTCGTAGGTTTTAACCAATCAGAGAAGTTTTAAAGTGAAAAATATAATCTAAATTAGCTTTGCCACTCTTAAACCATATGCCATTTAAACCCCTTGCATCCAACGTTATCACGCCCTTTCGCCCTCACATCGTCGTCGCTCTAGCTTTGCCATCAATCTCTCTCTTCTTGATTTCTTATTTTGAGGGTAATCGGTGGCAAGGGTCGATGGTGAGGAGTTGAGTGGAAACGATGTTGTTGGATGTAAAGGGTTTCAATGACAAAGGATTTGAGAATAGAATTCAAGCTTATAATCATTTAAAATAAAAGTTTATTAACTACTTTTTAGATTTCTTTAAAAAAACTAGAAGAGTACGTGCAATGCAGAGATACATATCTCGATTTTAATGTTCTATTTTATTATTTGTCTCTGCCGATGTTATAATACGATTTTATTTGTTTTTAAAAAAGCAATAATGATTTTATTTTTGGAATAAAATATAAATTTGAAGATATCATAAAAATTTGAAAAAATATATATCAAGTATTAATATCAAATCAACTATTTAAAAGTTCTCATTTTTTATGTAATTTCTTTGATTTTATTTTTTATTATAATTTAATTTAAGTTTAACAACGAAATAATTTATTTTTGGTTTAATAATATTTTATAAAGATAATAATTAAGTATTATGTTAGAACTCAATGATTATCTTAATTATATTTTAGATTTTTTATATTTAAAATGAAATGTTTATCTTGTATTTGATTATATTTATCTGCAGTTAGTTACACAAATTCAGATATGGAGCTTTAATAAGTTGTACCTACGCACAATCTACTTGCAATYTTGAGWTTTAAGTAATATGCATTAATAAACAATACTTTACGCATAAAAAATGGTTTTTAAGAGTTTTTTTAATCAAATGTTTTATAATATAGTATAGATAAAGCAAATTGGTGAAACATGATAATTAGGGAGTAATTTAGATTCAAGGCCCAATTAGATCCAGAAATGGGCCAAAATGTCCGGCCGATGACGGATCGTGGGATCCGTTAGTTGTGTTTTTTTTACGCTTCCCATTAAATGGTTCGTCTGTTTTTCATTATTAGATCACATATAACTTATTTGGTTTTTGACTGTCTTATGTTGTTCCACCAATCAATTTCGAATAGTATTTATCATTATTTTATTTATTTCATGTTTTTATCGTCTGCTTTTAATGTAGGAACGATTTGTTAGAAAGGATTGTTGGACAATATAAGACATGAAGTTTAAAAACAGATGATTTGTATCTTTAGATAACCCACATTCAAAACAATTCCTAACGGGGTCAATGAATATTGTCCAACAATTTGGCACTTTCGTTTACTTCCTCGGACAAGCATGTTTTAGGGGTAGTCTGGTAAGAGCTTACCTTCATGAGTCACCCCCTTACTTCCGATATTGACTCAATTTTCATCCATCAAACACCTTCTAGTTTGTAAACATTTACCGGGTAAGAATCTTATCACCAATTTACAGGGTAAATTATCTGTCTCTATGTTGCCTTCTACTGAGTAACATTCTCGGCTTTGTCGTATTCAGACGATAAAGTAAATGACATCCATTAAGCCCTTCCCGGACAAAATTTAGTAAACAATCTTTTAGTTTTTTAATCATTGAGGATTGTGTTGGTCGAGGATCGAGGTCCTCGCACTGCCAGCTTACATCGTCTCACTGTTGAAGTACTTATGAGTTCTTTTATAACTATTGATTCTTCTCTTCAAAAAATACATACATTTATATGGATTTTAAACTAGCAGTACAAAATCACTAGCAAGGACACTATACGAAGATAAAATGATAAAGACCTTTTACATACAGTTTCTAATAAATGAGAGTTGTCAATCATCGATGTACTAAATTGGAGTAGGGTGTTGGGTGAAGTATTGAGTGACATTGAATATATGTAGTTTCATTAACTTAAAGTAAGTTGTCGGTATGGTCCCGATCATTCTAATCTACGAGATCCATTTGTCTTCCTGATGTACTTCTAAGTTTATTTAAAGTTGAAAATTTATAATTCGTAAACCACAAATGTCTCATAATATCTTGTATTTCAAGAGTTATAACTTTATTTGAATATCACTTAAATTGTATGTATAGTGTATAACTTGTATTGGTCTCCTTTGAAAATGACAAAGTAGAATACTTGTAACCATTGACCTCAACAATTACTTTGAAAATATAAACTGTTCCTCCATCACTTTAAATTATATATATATATATATATATATATAGAGGGATGTTATTCTACACCTGTTTGCCATTCCTACACCCTATACAACCTTCATCTCAACCTTTCAATTTTTAATCAATTAATTGTTTCCTAATATAAAGTATTAATCATAATTAATAAACTCTATTCATATTCCATAAATATTCAAATCATAATAAATGAACTCCAATCATTTTTATAAATATCTCAATTAATTGGGTTGCAAAGGTTGTACAAATGTACAAGGTTGTAAAAAAAATATACCCTATATATATATATATATATAATTGAAGGAAAGAATTAATCAATGGGACCATATATAAATTAAGGGGGAGACTATTGACACCCCTTAATGAATACTGATGGCACCCCAATTCTAAGCCATCATTTCATTTTTTTTTTCTTTTAGTCTTTTTTGTCTTTTTATTGTTTTACTTTTTGTTTTTTCTTATTTAAATATATACACACACATTGATTTTTTTTATTTTTTTAGTTTTTTTCACTCTCATTTATTTATATTATATTTAATATGAATCATTAATCAATATATAATTCTTTTATATCAT